CCTGGGCCAGTTATGCTTTTTGACATATTATGTGGATTATGAAAAACATAGGCTTTGAACTCAGGTCCTATGAGTGGGTGAGAAGTTCCTTCACCACTACACCATTACGTTTTGTTGTTACTTTTTTAGCATGATATATAATTTTAAAACCTGTAAGTAAATTGGCTAAAAAATTATTTACTCCACAATCCCTCAGGTTTTTGTTTCCCCCTCTTTTCATTTCAGTCTTCATTTCAATTTTCAACCGCCGGCGCTCTCACTTTCACTGTCTCACCTCTCGGCTCTTGGACTCTCGGTGTCTGCCTCCCTGATCTCCTTCTCCTACCTCAGTCTCACGGTCTGACCTCTCAGCTTGTGCTTTCCAGTCTCCATATCCTCAGCGGCGTCGACTCTGAAGCCCAAGCCATAGCAGTGGAGGCGTCGAGTCATCCTCCTCCTCAGTCCTCGCAGTCACAGTCACAAGCCACATCGACTCTCAAGCCACAGCTCGGAGGTTGAAGCTTGAACCATCACCGATGTTGACAACTCTTCCTCATCAGTCCTTATTGATCATCTAGCCAGTTAAGCTTCCTACAAGCCACAGCTATTCAAACGAGTATCATGGCGTTGGCCGCGTGAATACAGAACCATAGATGTAACTCTATCACCGTGGAGAATTTGTAATGTTTGCTACCGAATTTACCATAGATGTAACTCTATCACCGTGGAGAATTTGTAATGTTTGCTACCGAATTTTGTTTTAGTGATGTAGAAATGATGATAAATTCTGAATTAGGTTTGGGATATACAACGCAAATTTCTTTTATTTTTGTGTGATAGGCTGTTGAAATTACTGAATTCAAATGGTTTAGAAGAGTGAATTAGCAAATAATAGGGTCTACAAGAATGAAGAATCTGTATGTATGTAATTACAGGATTAATTAGGAAATGATAGGGGGTTAAATTTTTCTCTGTTGGTGCTTTTAGAGTTTAGATAGTTTTTTAAAGAATACAGACATGTTAACAGGCCTCAAGTCAAACTAAATCTTTGTAAAGGCCATGTTTAGGCTAAGAAGGAAGCCTTTGACAGACCAGACTCTGGCCTATTTGATACAAATCAGGCCTAACCTGTTAAGACGATAACTTGACCTGGCCTAGCCTGTTTTTATCCCTATTAGTAACCCAAGTTCCCTTAAAATTCTTCGGAAGTTGCTTCATCTATTTCCCACATGAATTTAACTCGAGGGATAACATAAATAAAATAAGTCAACATCGTAGAAATATACCCCTAAAAAAAAAAAATAAATAGCAAAAAAAAAATTCAAATCAAATAATCAAATTTTAATAATTTCAAACCAGTCTGGTAAACAGACTTGAAATTTTAAAATGTTGTGAAAAACGTATTAGTGTCATTAGGACGGGAAAAAAAACCTATTAAAAAATCCCTCATCGGCAGCCCCGCACAAGCTCCAATAAAAAACCCTATTTTATTAAAGATTAGTATATTAGTTAATATTTCATTCCAGAAATTAATTTAAATAATTAATCTCGGTAAACTCAAGTCAATATCAATGATTATTTATTACTTTTAATTTTATGTTCTTTTAATAAATGATAATTTAATATCTAAAAAAAATATTTGGGATCTAATTAACTTGATTAGGATCATCTTCTTCAGTTTTCAACCATATTTCATTATTTTTTTCAATTCTATCTTTCCTAACTTCAAATAATGGATTTATCTACTTTATTTTTAAGTTAGTTAATAAATCATATCAGAATGTTATTCAAATCATTAAAATAAAAGAACTGAGATGTTACAAGGTGAAGTGTCAAACTAGGTTAGATAATAGTCTTAAGAGACTAAGACTAAGAGGGTGTTTGGATTATCTTTTTAACAGTGATTTTATGAAATTCGAAATGATTATGTTAAAAAAGTTTTGTCTTAACTTGTATAGAATTATTTTTTAAAAAAAGTGATTCTGATTTCTGAGGGATACCAAACACTCCTTGAGAGAGAGAGAGAAAGAAAGCAGCTGATGGAGTGTACTAAAGCAACAAGCAATGTGAAAGCGAATGTCCCTTGTTCCCTATTTGATGCCATGAAAGAGTTTTTATGAAACCAGAACTGAAAGTGGAATTGGAAGGAGGAGTGTGTTTTAAGACATGTTTGGACGGAAAATGAAAGAGGAATATAATTTTTAATTAAAAATATGTTTATAATATAGAAATACTAAAATGCCCTCTATCAAAATTTATTATCCCTTCCATGCATCCACAGCCAGTGGAAATTGTCCAGACATCAAGTAGAAGCAGATCGATCAAAGACCACAAAATAATAATAATAAAAAAAAAACACATTATCAATCTAAACAACCAAAGAAAGAAGAGTGGATGTGGGGGAGACTGGGTCGAGAATCGAAAAGAGAGAAAGAGTTGCAGATCGAAACCATCGCCATCACCATCATGAGAAGGAGAAGACTAGTTGTGCTGAGATTGTTAAGCAGTGGCTTTCATGAGCAATAGTCCGCGAAGTCGAGGTTAGAGAAGAAGATAAAGCAAAGAAGTTGAAGCCCAAGATTTGAAAATGGAGACAACGAAGTGAACCATGGTCATTGTTGGTGAGTGCCATTGACGATAATTATAGTTGAATGGAAGAACCTCTTGCTTCTCGTTTTGACAGGGCTGAGCAAGTCGCTCGTAACCTGATGAACCTGCTTTAGCCCAGGGGAAAATTTGCCTGTTTGGGTTTGCCCATAACAGGCTTGTAACATGTGAGTTCATGCATTAAGTAGGCCGCTACAAGCTGCCCGTGCTCACCCATAGATATATTTATTATATGTATAACTTTTTTATAATATATTATTTTTTTATGCTTCCAACATTAGGTACACCAGTGAAGGAGCTATTTTTTAATCAACAAATCTTTAGTTTGATTCTCCTCTCAGCCTCACATGAAACTTATATTATCTATTTCTTCTCTCTTTATGTTCGATTAATACGGGTAGAACTGTGAAAGTTTGTGGCAAGCATAAATTAGTTAGATTAATTTATTAATATATGAAAATCATGTAATTTTTTTTTTATGGAGCCCAGGGTGTCCACCATCGATAGTAGTGACTAATTCTCTTGTATTGTAGAGTTTTTGGAGACGTTTTAGTGCTGGTCATGAGACATTCTCCATACACGCTATCAGGAATTCAACCCCTAACTAGATGCTTAAAGAATTCAACTTACTGCTAAGTGTGCTAGATCTCATGGCTGAAAATCATGTAATTTTATGAACAAAGAAATTGTGATTAAGCTTTGGCCAAAAAAAACAAAGAAAATTGTGATAAGCGATATGAAAGATCAAGATTTTGAGTGTCTTTCATTTTTTTTAAAAACAACGCACAAAAAGCTAGTGAATTGAACTTTACTTATTCTTCTCTTTTTAAATAAAATTTCTGCTAGTCTAATAATAATAATAATATGTTTTATTATTGAAGAAGTTTAATTCATATACATTTGTTATAATTCTATCCGAGGCTATCAAACTAAATAGAGAGAATTAAAATAAAATCTTAAGAAAAGAAAAAAATTTATAAAATAAGTATTAGAAGTTATCATTCTCCCCTCTAAAATTAATTATTACATACTAAATGCTGATGAGTATTGAAATGCGGTGTTCCGAGAAGCCAATTATTCCTTCTTTGAATGAAAAAAACAACAGCATTTAAACGGTTCCCCATAATCATTTAACCTCCCCATTTATTTCATCACAAGCACAGTCTAGCCCGTACCCGTCTAACTCTAAACAGACAGGCCATGGACTACTCGTCCTGTCCATTACAGGGCCCTACAGTCCCAATTTGATGGTGAATACCTTCATTGTGGAAGAATGATTCCAAATCCGGTTGTGGGGCTTACACAATTTCCAACGTTTACGCCAAAAAGGCAGGCTGTTGCTGGTCAAAAAGAAAAGGGGAGGCCGTTAGAACTTGGAGTTAGATGCCGGCCGGAGATTCATTATAACCCAATTCCATCAATTGGCATTTATGGAAATGGCTTTTTGGGATACACCGGAAAGCTTTATGTAAATGGTTTCCAATAAAACAAACGGGCCAAATGTGGATTGCACTTCTAGTTCTAATGTGCCGGATAGGGCATTAAAGTTAAGTTGAAACCAAAAGAAAAAAGGAAAAACATATACACATACATATATATAATTAAGAAAAAATTAATTGACTCAAAAATATCATTTCAAACTATAGTTATGATTAGGGGATTGGAAAGATACTTTATAAAATTAAAGAGTGAAACTAAAATACTGTATTACTATAAAATTAGAGGATCAAAAATAAAATTTTGTCAAATTATAAAATTATAGTAATAGATCAAATAGAGAACTAATTAATCATAAAATATACCTGAAATTTAGTGAGTAGAAAATAGTCTACTTTTTTTATTATTCACTGGAATGTTGCGGCAGTAAATATATAGAGAGAATTAGGGTTTAAACAGATACCCTATCTCAGCAAAATTATTACAATCTAATCAAATCCCTAAACTTAATTCAAATATGCGAAAATCATGGAAAGATAGAATCTGAATTCAAAATTCAAAAAACTAACATTAAACAACAAAGATTGCATATAAACTATCTAACTTAAGTGGACTTGGGCCTAGCAACTTCTAACACTCCCCCTCAAGCTGGAGAATAGATATCCATCATTCCCAGCTTGCTTGTAAGATCTTCAAATTTTGGCCCAGCTATAAGTTTGGTTAGAATATCTGCCACTTGATGCTTTGAAGGCACATAGATTACTTCAACAGTTTTTCCTTCAATCTTTTCATTTATAAATGGCGATCAATTTCAACATGCTTTGTCCGGTCATGATGAACAGGGTTTTTTACAATCCTGATTGTGGCCATATTGTCACATAGTACTCTCATTGAGCCTTCATAGCTTAAATTTAGCTCTTTGAATAATCGGTCCAGCCATAGACCTTCACATAATCCTAGAGCTAAGGCTCTTAATTCTACTTCAGCACTACTTCAAGAACTACAGGTTGTTTCTTGCTCCTCCAAGTAACCAGATTTCCCCAAACAAAGGTACAATAACCTGTAGTAGACCTTCTATCAACAATTGAACCTGCCCAATCTGCATCTGTAAAAACTTCAATTCCCCTGTTAGCCTCCTTTTTAAAATAGAGACCTTTTCCAGGTGAGGATTTGAGGTACATGAGTATTCTGAACACTGCCGCCATATGCTCTTTATTGGGTTGGCTAGAGAACTGGCTTACAACAGTGACAGCATGAGTAATGTCAGGTCTAGTATGTGTGAGATAGATTAGCTTGCCAACTAACCTTTGGTATCGTTCTCTGTCAACCAACGGACTATTTTTATTCAAGCCCAGCTTTTTATTTAGTTCCATTGGAGTAGTGCATGGCCTACATCCTAACATTCCTGTCTCATGCAATAAATCAAGTGTATACTTTCTTTATGATACAACAATTCCAGTTTTAGATCTGGCCACTTCGATCCCAAGGAAGTATCGCAAGTCTCTTAGAGCTTTCACTTCAAACTCAGTTGTGAGAAACCCTTTTAATTTCTCAATTTCACTATCATCATTTCCAGTAAGGATAATGTCATCAACATAGACAATTAAAATAGATATTTTCGCCTCACTATGTTTAATAAAAAGTGTATGATTTGATTGACCTTGAGAGTAACCATACCTTTTAGCTACCTGTGAGAATCTTTCAAACCATGCTCTTGGTGATTGCTTCAAGCCATACAAGGATTTCTTAAGCTTGCATACCTTTCCTCTAGTCTGCTCATTCCGAAAGCCACGAGGGATTTCCATATATACCTCCTCCCTAAGATTGCCATTTAGAAAGGCATTCTTGACATCCAACTGGTGTAGACCCCAATCTAGGTTAGCTGCTAGGGAGAGTAGTACATTAATAGTATTGAATTTGGCAATTGGAGCAAATGTCTCCTGGTAGTCAATGCCGTGGGTTTGGCTGAATCCCCTTGCCACCAGTCTCGCTTTGTGTTTATTAAGGCTTCCATCAGGGTTGTATTTATTTGTGAGTACCCACTTGCAGCTTACAGTAGTCTTTCCTTTGGTAGTCTTGTTAGCTCCCATGTTCCATTCTTCTTTAGAGCTTCCATTTCTTCATGAACTGCTTTGATCCATGCTAGAATTTTTAAGGCCTCATAAACTTCCCTTGGGATCCTTTCCATTGATACATTAGCTGTAAAAGCCTTCATGGTAGGAGACAATTTTTCACATCAGACAAAATTAGCAATAGGATGCTTAGTGTAGGACCTTACCCCTTTTCTTAGCGCTATTGGCCACCATAGATCACCTTCTTGAGGATTTGAGGCTAGGAGAGATGATTAGTGTGATGTGAGTTGTTCGGTTCCCCTTGCTGGTTGCTCAATCTCCTGCTGGGCTGGCTGTTGTGCCTGTTCTGGTTTTGTTTCAGCATGCTGTTCAGTTTCCAAATGTTCCTCACTAATCCTTTCTTGTCCCATAGATGATTTAGGTGGCTGTTCAGGGTTTGTTTGGTCTGTTTCAGGTTCGGCTAATGGCTGGAAGTAGGAGGGCTGGATGTATGTGTTTATATCTGGTAGGTTTAATGGTGTAGATTGGATGGTGTCATAAAAAATAGGCCATTCATAGCTCTCTCTCCCCCCCTGAATGGGCATTTTTGGGTAATATGGTTGGTGTTCAACAAAAGACACATCATAGGAAACAAAATACCTTCAGTTAGGAGGATGGTAACACTTGTACCCTTTTTGTGTGTGTGAATACCCAACAAACATGCACTTGGTGGCTCTTGCCTCTAGTTTTGATATGTTGTGGTTATGGACAAAGGTAGTACATCCAAACACCTTAAGTGGTAGAGAGTTTGAGAGGCTATTGGAAGGATAGGTTTCAAGGAGAACTTGGTATGGTGTTCAGAATTGAAGGGTTTTGGAAGGTGTGCGATTTATGAGGTAGATTGAGATCAACACAGCATCCCCCCCGAATTGACTAGGTGCATTTGAGGCTATTAAGAGTGATCTGGTTATGTTGAGTATTTGTCTATTTTTCCTCTCGGAAACCCCATTCTGTTGAGGTGTGTGAGGGTAAGAGCTTTGGTGGTAAATTCCACGAGTGTTCAAGAAATCTTTCAAGGTTGTGTTGAAATATTCTCAGCCATTATCAGTTCGAAGGGTTTTGATTTTTGTTTGAAACTGATTTTCAATGAGTGTATAAAAGTTTTTAAAGATTGTGGGAACTTCAGATTTTTCTTTGAGGAGATATACCCATGTGAGTCGTGTGTGATCGTCAATAAAGATGACAAACCATCGTGTACCATTTGTGCTGGGAATTTTGGATGGCCCCCAGACATCACTATGGATAAGTTGGAAAGGATGGGTTGGCTTATAAGGACGAGAAGAATAGGTGTTTTTTACATGTTTGGCCAAAGAACAAGTTTCACAATTAAAATGGGATAAATCTTTATTAGAAAACTGAGGATACAATCTCTTGAAGTACTCAATACTTGGATGACCAAAACGAAAATGTAACACTTTATTTCATTTGAAACAGAATCAGACACTAATTGGCTTGATAAGGCACTAGTAGCAGATGCCCTTCGTTTTTCAACAGTATTCTCCCGATAGTAGTATAGGTCTCCATCCTTCTCACACCAACCAATCATCACTCCTGACCTCGCCTCCTGAAATACACAATCACGTGATCCAAAATTAGCATTACAAGAATTTTGTGTGGTAAGTTTACCAACTGAAATTAAGCTGCAAGCTAGCTTAGGAACATAGAGTACATCCTGCTGAACAATATTTTCATATAAAAATGACTGTTCCAATTTTAGCTACATCAACATGAGATGAATTACCAATTCTAACAACCCACTTCTCTTGACATGGTCGAATATTATGAAATAGAGAAATCTCTCCAGTCATATGGTCCGTGGCTCTTGAATCAACTATCCATGTTTTTGAGTCAAGTTGCATTGAGGGGAAAGCAACGGAGATAATACTTGTTTTGGTTGCTACTAAACCAGTGGCAGTGCTCACTTTAGGTGGTTTTTCATAGAGATTGATAAGTCTTTGAACCTGATCCTTGAGTTCATCTATATCTGATTTTTACTCCCCCTTTACTGCATAACTGTGACTTTCTCTCTTTCCCTTCTGCTTATCCTGAGGGTGGCCATGGATCTTCCAGCATGTCTCTCAGGTATGACCCTTCCTATTGCAATGATCATAGAAGAGTCTACCCTTGCCTTCACTCCGGGCAGGCATTGCCACTGGTTCACTAGAATTCAGGCTTGGAGGGTTAATGGTCACCTTCTTTCTGCTTTCTTCTCTCTTCACCATCAAGAAAATTTCTCTAAGGGAAGGCATAGGTGATAGATTCAAGATTCTGCTTCTGACCTCCTTGAATTCTTGGTTTAGGCCAAGGAGGAATTTGTATATTCTTTCTGTTTCAATCCACTTTCAAAAGATGATTATATTTGCATTGCACTTAAGAGCAATTGTATCATAAAGATCAATTTGTTGCCATAATTGAGTCAAAGTATTATAATATACTGTGACTGTCATACTCCCCTGTTTTATCATATGAAGCTTTCCTTTAATCTCAAACAATACAGCAGTATTGGAAGCTGAGGAGTATAGTTCACGAGCGGCCTCCCAAATCTCTCAAGCAGTCTCATAGAACATGAAATTTTTACTAATGTCTAGCGTCATTGAGTTGATCAGCCATGACATAACTTGATTATTCTCAGCTCTCCAATTGACGTATTTAGCATCAACTACAGCAGGACAAGGTGATTCGCTGTTGATATAATCCTCCTTTCCACGTCCATGAATAAACATAAGGAAGGAGAGGGACCATTGAAGGTAGTTCTCTCCATCTAACTTGTGTGTTGTAATCAGATTGGCTAGGTCTTGCGATTGTGATCACAAGTTAGGGTTAGGACCTACTTCAGAAGAGGCGCTGGCCTCTCTTTGTGTGTTTAAAGCCTGGAACCTGCCGAATTTGAGATTTTCGGCAGCCATGGCTCTGATACCATGAAATTTAGTGAGTAGAAAATAGTCTACTTTTCTTATTATTCACTAGAATGTTGCGGCAGTACATATATAGAGAGAATTAGGGTTTAAACAAATACCCTATCTAAGCAAAATTATTACAATCTAATCAAATCCCTAAACTTAATTTAGATATGTGAAAATCATGGAAAGATAGAATCTAAATTCAAAATTCAAAAAACTAACATTAAATAACAAAGATTGCATATAAACTATCTAACTTAAGTGGGCTTGGGCCTAGCGACTTCCAACAATACCCTATCGTATATTTAATCCAAAAATCATAATTCATGGAAATTCAAAACATATGAAAATAGGCCAGTAATAAGATTGCAAAATACAATTTTTGAAACCTACCTTCTTATAAACAATGGTTGTTCTATATCAATGATGTACTATGTAACATCCTGAAAATTTTAACCCTGAAGATAAGGGAATAAACTAGACAGAAGGTTAGTTAGTGTAGAGGGGACATAGATCTGACAAGTTTTGAATTGAAATCCGGGCAGACTAATATTTTTGAAATATTAATTAAAGAAAGATTTGATTGAAAAGTTAGGTTAGAAATTCTCAAAAATTCTCAGAAAATCATGTAAAATAAAATTAACAATCAAGAAGCAGTATTTGAGGCCTTAGAGGAATTATGGAAAGGAAAGTAAATTAATATAGAATTTTTTATATTTTCATAAATTTTTGGTTACACTGAGAAATAGTAAACAAAGTTAATTATTTAAAATATCTAGAGGCATCAATAATTTTGGAAAAAAATATGAAAAATTTTCAGGATTATCATAATTTATAAAATTGTTTCTAACTTCAAATGGTAAGGAGGTTAGCTTTAATAATATTTAAAGCAAAATTATCACTAGTAGAATGCCGATTTCGTTGGAATTGGAATTTAAAGAATTCCGGAGTGAATTAAATTCTAAGAAAAATCATGGCACTTCCTTACATTGAGAGAAGTTAATGATGTGCTGAGATTAATTTTCTAAAATAGTGGATTGCATTGGATACAAGAAAAATTCATTGGCACTGTATCGGTACTCAATGTAATGACAGGATACCTGGGGAAGCAAAGTTTTTGCAAAATTTTCCAGCCCAAATGGCTCATGTGTCATGCCTAAATTGGCCCATTTTGGAGGAAAATATTTAACAGAAACTGAAAATAAAAATAAGTTTCTAGAAGGTGGTTAATTATGGTGATTAAGGAAGTTAACTAAGTTAGGCTAATTAATCTTGGTATGACATAAACAAGTGACATCATCACTATGACATCATGTGGACATGTGGCAATATCACATTCAAGAAGCACAAGATTTGTCCACC